GGCAAAAGGATAGTGTTTCTGGTTATAATTAGCACATGAAGAGCGTCAGTCTCTTGACATAGGCATGGTGCCCCACCCCCACTCCCAAATGGAGCAAGCAGCAGGCCTCGGTTCTTCCAATGAAGTTTTGCACAGCTGCTGTCTGCAAAAGCGGCGGGCACCCCGCTCTTGTCTACCTTTTCAGGAGCCCCCATCTCCTGGTCTTCTCTTACTTCTCAGGCCTCTCGGCCCCTCTGCAAAGTCTATGGGCTTGACTTCCTCTCTTCTTCTTACTCTGGTGCACATTTCCACCATTCACGGACCATGAGTCTACCAGAGAGTCTGAGGCCAGAAAAAAAAAAAAACCTCACATTACCTTGTTATTTGAGCAATAATAAAGGTACACACCAAGTGCCAGGCTGTCAGAGAAGAGGCCTTGAAAGTTATCCTGGAGGAATCACCTTTTACCTGAGCCTTCCTGGTGGGCACAGGAAAGGGACTTTGCTGGTGAAGAGAGAAATGGCTGGTGGGTGGGAACGCAGGCTGAGCTCAGGGGAGGGTGCACCGAAAGGGTGGAGAGGAAGCTAGGACATAATACCAGGGTAAGGGGAGGGGACTTGCATGGAAGGAGAGATCAAGACAGACTGGGGCATGGGGAAAGGGAGGAGGTTCATCCAGACACCGGTGGAGGTCAGTGCAGGAAGGGCTCAGACATTCACAAAGGCCCTGGTGTGTCAGCTTAGATTTCAAGCACTATGCATGGTTATTCAAAGCCAAGTAGGAGAACTGTGGGCATCTGGATTTCCCGGGGGTCCAACGTGTAGATTCCTGAACCCCATGCCTGCTCTGGAGAGTCACTCTGGGATGAAGCCCAAGAGTTTAGGCTTAAGCACCTTTTCTGTCCCCTGCCCTAACACAGGTGGATCTGAAGTGTAAAAAAATGTGAGCATCTCTCCTTAACCTAGGAGCTGAAGGGTAAGGGATTTAACAGTTGTGGAAAGTAGAAGCTCCTCTTGTTTGCCAGATAGGAATTTTGATTTATCCTTATCAACCACCCTGAAGGTCAGTGCCATTGTTATCCCCATAGCACAGATAAGAAAACAGGCTTAAGAGAATTTAAGTGACCTGGGGGCCCAAGGTCACACAATTCCTATGAGGTACACTGGGCTTCTCCCCCCAGCTCCAATTCTAGTTGGAGAGCTAGAATCATCCTTCAGTGTCAGACCAAGTGGGCTTTGGAGCCAGGAATGCTTAGTTCTGAATACAGCTCTACCCCACACTGTTTTCTAGGCCTTTCCAAAAACAGCGCAGGGCCCAGCACAACCCAGCAAATGTGGGGTAAAGACCACTGCCCCAGTCAGTGGTTTTCATAGGCCCCTTGAGGTAGCACCAGAGATAGAAACTTCTAAGTCTGATTCAAGATTAGAAAAGAGAAGTAAATCACAACACTCTGAGGCCCCTTAGCCTCAGGCGGAGGGGCCAGAGAGTGTGACTTCAGGGAAGTTCCCCAAACTATCTGAGCCTCAGTTCCTCATCTGTAAATTGGGGAAAATATCAGTTGCCGTGAGGATTAACTAAGATAATATCCTCAGGACAGTTTCTGGTCTTTGGTAACCACCGGAGGATGACTAGCTGTATTATTATTATTATTACTATTACAGGTTTGGCTAATTCTTACCTTTCCAATCCAGTCGGATCTCTGTTTTTAACTGCTCTCTGAGCACTGGAGTGAGAGCCTTTCTGGGTTGAGACCCAGATGTATCCTTACTTGGTATCTGACTGAAATCATGAAACTAGTATTAATGCAACTATTTCTCTTGAAACCGGAGTAGCTAATATTCTCCTGGCTTCTGTTGTAGGAAGCTGGTTCTTCTCACTCTCTTTTAAAAAGTGGATTTAAAGGGTTTTAAAAAATTATTTGTCAATTATATCTCAATAAAGTTGGTCACAAATAAAGCTTTGAGGTGTAATTGACAAAAGCATGGATTTTTTTCAAGCCTCCCAAATGTTATTATGCACATAGTTTACAGTCCAAATAGTAGGAAATGAAATGGTGAGGAAACGTAATGACCACAGAAGCTTCTTGCCTTCCCCCTCCTTCGACCATCCCCACCCTCCTGGGTCAGCTCACCAGTCCTTGGTCCTCCTTACTTCTAGCTGAATCTTCTGGTACTTATTTCCAGCCATCTTGCATTTCTAGCTCTTGGTTAATCCATTAAAAATCTAAAAAAAAATTTGTTTTTAAAGAGCGAGAGAAGGAGAGAGAGAATCCCAAGCAGGAGTGCACTGTCAACACAAAGCCCAATGTAGGGCTTGAACCCACGAACCGTGAGGTCATGACCTAAGCTGACGTCAACCGACTGAGCTACATGGGTACCTCGATTCATCCAGTTTAGACCAAAAATTACTATGAAGGCGCTCCTGCTCTTTTGTTTGTTTGTTTTAATAGTTTATTGTCAAGTTGGTTTCCATATAACAGCCAGTCTCATCCCCACAAGGGGCACTCCTGCTTTTTTTTTTTTTTATTTTTTTAAATTTTTTTTTAATTTTTTAATTCTTTTTTTTTTTTTTTTTTACAAATAGTTTATTGTCAAATTAGTTTCCACATAACACTCAGTGCTCATCCCCACAAGTGTCCTCCTCTATGCCCATCCCCCCTCCCCCCCACCTCCATCAGTCCTCAGTTTTTGTCAGCATTCAAGAGTCTCTCATGGTTTGCCTCTCTCCCTTTCCCCCACCATTTCCGCCCTTCTTCTCCCCCTTGGTCCTCTGTTAAGTTCCTCCTAATCCTCCTATACGTGCACACGTATGATATTTGTCCTTCTCTGCCTGACTTATTTCACTCAGCATAACACCCTCAAGGTCCATCCATGTTGCTACACATGGCCAGATTTCATTGTTTCTCATTGCCACGTAGTATTCCATGGTATAGATAAACCACATCTTCTTGATCCATTCATCCGTTGATGGACACTTAGGCTCTTTCCATGTTTTAGCTATTGTGGAGATTGCTGCTGTGAACATTGGGGTACACGTGCTCCTATGCATCAGCATTTCTGTATCCCTTGGGTAAATTCCTAGCAGTGCTCTTGCTGGGTCATAGGGGAGTTCTATTGTTAGTCTCCTGAGGAACCTCCACACTGTTTTCCAGAGGGGCTGCACCAGTTTACATTCCCACCAACAGTGTAGGAGGGGGGGCACTCCTGCTTTTAAGTGAATTTGTGTTTTACTTAGCACCACAGCATCTATGAATGTGTGAAAGCTTGTTCAGAGTTTAGGCTTAGGGTTAGTTCAATCTAGCTTCCATGTCTGATCCTGCATTTTCCACCTCACCCCCTCACCTTGCGGTGAAACAACCCCTCCCTTGACTTTCCACTGGGTTCCTGTGCTTTAGCAGGGACTTAAGCACGGGTTTAATACCTGACTTTGCAGGTGCACATGACCATAGCTGGCCAATCAGCGCCTCCTCCTGCCAGATACAGGGGCCAGGCAGGCCAATCAGAGGCCTTTCAAAGATGGGCTTTCCTCTGCCAGGTTTGCTCAATGTCAGTGTAGAGTTGGGGTTACTAATGACTCTCTTTGCAATCTTGGGGCATGCGTCCTTTGGGACGTGAAGCCATCATGGAGGAAAGCCCCCTCTGTTGAGGTGACAGATGGGGAGAGGATGACGTTGTTTGAGAGCTAGATGCAGCCAGCTTAAAGATCTTAGGCTTCCCGGTTATATGAGCCAATACACCGTATGAGATTTTTGGTTTAAGCATATGTTGGATTTCTTTCACGTGGAGCATAAATGGCGACTGATATACTGTCTTTGTGAACTTGGGCAAGTTATCAGCAGTGTGTATATACTTGTATTGTGATAATGCCACCCACAACTCTAGGTTCCCTGCGGCTGTGCTTTTATCAGCCTGAGCCTGAGACAGCTTGACATCGACCGGTCCATTGTAGGGACTGGAGGAAACAACTTACCATGAGTCACTGCCCTAAAATATGCTTTCCGCCTGCATGCCCGGTGCCTGGTATCCCGTGGTGATGGTGGCATTCCTTAGGGTTAATTATGGCTTTCTTCAAGTGGTTCTCTTTTGGAGTGTGAAGTCTGCAGGCAAAGGCCGCAGTTAAGGCGCAGCGTCTGGGGCGGGTTCTGCCTTTGCTCTGACGAGATGGCAAAATAGATGATGAGGGAGGCCAGGAGCCATGCGGGGGCCTTGACAGTGAATCTCACTGTTTTTCAAATTGTCCCTAAGTCCATGCAGATACCTCACTAGCCTTGTGCCTTTAGACAGCTTCCCTCTTGGCATATTTCAGGAATGTGAATCTTTCCAGTTTCAAAAGGCGTCTGGAGAAAGAAATTTCACTGGAGGTCGCACCCTGTTCTGATGTTTACCTGTGGAAGTCCCTTCTTCAGGAGGTCCCCATGGGAGGCACTGGATACAGGACTCGGTGTAGACAGATCTAGGCACAAATCCCAGTTCCCAATGGCCCAGTCCCTTTGCAGCTTATGGGGCAAACAGCACAGTGTGCTGGCCTTTAGGAGGTCAGTCTGTCTTACATAAGGAATTGTATGCAGAGAATGAAGAAATGGTCTCAAATTCACCCAATAAAACCCTGAGTCAGCCCCAAGGGCAGGGTCTGGTACTAGGCGTTGAGAAGAGGAAGGAGATGTGATTCTTGCCTTGTCAGTGTTCCCGACCTAATAGAGAACTGTGGTGGCATCTTCACATTGACATTGAGGCTGTCTTTCACTCTGCTCCATTCACAGGTGATGCCTAGAAGAGCGAGGCCACCATGTGAAGCCTCTAAACCAGGACTCGGTCACATTCTGGGTGGGATAGACTCACCGGCCCTCCCCGCACCCACGTCTCCTTTTCCATTCCGGTGTACTTTTCCATTCTTTGGCGCAGAGCTGGGCCACGTGACTTGCTTTGACCCATGAAACGGGCAGAAATGAAAGTGTGACAGTCCCGTGCTTTGGCTTGAAGAGGCCCGATGGCTTCCTGCTCGCTCTCTGATGCATCTCTTGGGTAGCCGCTGTGTCTTCAGCCTGGGCGGGAAGCACCACGGGCGGAAAAGACCCGCAGTGAGAAGCAGCGCTGACCCAGCCAGCGAGGGGGCATTAAGGTTCGGCGGTACCGGCCAGCCCATGAGAATCGGTTTCCCAGCATCCCGAGTTTTGAGGATGGTTTATTAACATTGCTGTGGCAAAAGATAGTAAGACAATCTTCATCTCCTATGGCCCCATAAGCTGAAACACTCCACGCTACCCTCGAACACATGCAGCTGTTCCTGGCTCTGCTTCGGGACCTCAGGACTTTTCTTCTTCTTGAATGAGAGTGCTCCCCACCACCCCCAGCTGGGGCTAACCCTAACCCAGCTGGTGCTCCATCCCCACCAGGATCTCAGGAGTGCTGGTGCTCCCCAGGCCTGAGACGCCCTGATCCCGTCGGGGGAGGAGCCGGCCAGCATGACCAGTCGGGACTCCCAGGTTAAGAATCCAGTTGAGCCTCTTGGTCATCCTCAATCTGCTCTGACCTCCCCCCGCCCCCCCACAGCACCTGCAAATCCCTGCTGACCTCCAGCCCCGAAGCCGCCAGAGAACCTCTGCTTCCCCCACCTCCTGGTCCTCCGTGTCCTCCTTCAGTAGTTTGGTGAAGCATAAAAAGGCTTGTCAAAGTGGTCCCAGGCTCCGGAGGGGTGGGCGTGTGGGTTTGGAGGGTGACAGATTCTCACTCTCTCCAGATGCTAGCCAGGCTCCCCCGAGCCCTCTTTTTGATTCAGCCTTGCTTGGCCTGTGAAGACGTGAACAAACACGAACTTAGTTTCTAGCGGCTCGTGGCCACGTCCCTAGTGGGACCCTAGCCTCCCTTAAAGTGCCTGCCTGCAAAAGTCACAGTTGTCTGAAGGAGATGCTGCTAAATTCCAGCCAACAACTGAAGAGAGGGCCCCTGTCTCCCAGCTTCTGTGAGAAGGTAGGAGCCTAACTTTGATAAGTGTCAGTTAGCAAAACAAGGGGGGTCTCGTATGGGCCAGCGACCCTTCCTGCTTTTTGTAAGCTTTCACTTCTGAAAACCCCCACTCATTAGCTTCCCCAGTCCCCCATCCTCCCTGTGAAATACCCAATCACCCCTGTAATAATCCCAGTTGAGTGACTGCTCATGATGAACACTTTCCCCTACACTATTGCAATACTGTTACTGATGGAAATCTGTCTGGATTCCTTTAAGTAGTGTCTGGTATTGTTTATTTTCATCAGGGGAGGGGTGCAGGATCAGGCTTTTAATTTTTTTTTTTTTTAATGTTTATTTTTGAGAGAGAGACAAGGTGTGTGCGGAAGGATGGGGGGAGGAGGGTTGGGCAGAGAGAGAGGGAGACACAGAATCTGAAGCAGGCTCCAGGCTCTGAGCTGTC